AAATAATTTTCCGAATACGATGATCACTATTTTTAATCACAAAAATGTAATACATATGTAGATGATATCTGCATAGTCGTGAGAAGATACTTTTAATTAATGGCTTTTACTTTATTAATTTTTAATTTTTTTCGTTAATTTGAAAAAAAAAATGTTCTACAAATAGGTACATTTAATTTAATAAGTTCTCTCGAAGCCGAACAATAAAAATAAATATTTATTTAAAAAATATAGTTAATGATCTATACTGTTATTAAAAATATTACACATATGAGTTATGAGTAGTTATGACATATGCTAAAAAATTTGAAAAATATGCAATAGATAAAAAAAGGTAGGTAAGTGGCTACTTCTCTGGGGGCGTATATCAATTACGCTTAAATGACCTTCTTACCTGTAAGAAATCTATTGAATGCATCGAGGTACTCCGTCAAATTTTTTTATATATTGATTCCGTTGACTAACATGAGGTTAAAAACTTCTGTGATTATCTAGGTGATAATAATATTGGGAATTATTGATTTGGCCGAAACTACTTGTTTAAGAAAAAGGTTTGTATCGATTCCACTGGCTACTGTTTATAATATTTACACATCGATTTTGCCGGACACTGTTTATCCCCCCCCCCCCTGTATATGTATTTTAAAATATATAGCAGCGGTTCCAAAACTTCTTTAGTTTACGTCACCCTAAAAATAAAAAAATTAATTGCGCCTCCTATGAATAAATAAATAACAAATTTATAGTATATATACAAATATTTTTATTGTTATGACAAAATAAATCAAGCATAAATATTATTAAATTTCTGTTTAAAGTATTACTAAATTTTTAATTTTTATGAAAAAAAACAATAACTATTAATATTAATATTTATGTGAATATATTTTATAATAATTGTACCTATAAATGTGTAATTAAAAATTAAAATGTGTATCTTAATACGTGTATGTAAAACAGTAGTCGGCAGAATTAATAGCTGGTGGAATCGATATGAAATCAGCGCAATCGATATGCATCCAATTATATTGATGAAACATCAAAATTTAATCTAAAAATATTGGCATTGTCTTCAATTTCTTCAGAACGAACAACTAACAGTTGTGAATCGTTTCATTTAAAACTCAACATAAAATTAACCAAAGCACATCTAAATGTATTTTTGTTTTCTCATGTATTGAATTTAAAGATATAAACTGATTCTTGTATAATAATAAGAGGGCTAAACAACAATTATTTAAATAAAAATATGATAGATTAAATTATGTTTAACTGGCATCAAACCACTATTTAAAAAAAATATATCAACTTATATTGTACTTTTTTTTGCCATAATAGATTATGTTTACTCGTGTTATATTTTTGTTGTGGACGAAAATTAGATAATAATTGTTTTTTATTTAAAAAAAATATGGTGAACTGCGTCCCTATACTATTGATTAAAAAAATATATTTTACATAACCAATTTAGTTACAGCTAAGCTGTACATTAAATGTTGAGTGAGTCACTATTATATAATATATGTGTAACTTAAATTTAATGATATATCATTATATACAAAAAACGATACTGAACAAAAACGGTGTATATTAGCTTATATTATAAAGTGATATGTTTTTTTTGTCATATGTATTAACTATTAAGTCATTTATTTTACTTTTAGCATTATAGACTATAATAGATTGATAAAATTGTTTTCGAAAATATAGTATTTATCTTATTCTTATATATATATATATAAAATCAAAAATTAAAACCTTTGACGTTAATGTTTTCGGAAACTACTCATCCTATTATCTTAGTTTTTTTTTTTTTAATGGAAGATTATATCATAGAGAAGGTTCCTATTGCAATAGCATTTTAGACAAATGCTTGGTATATAAGCAATTGAGTTATCTATTAATTAAATTAAACATGTAAATTGTATACCTATATGCGGCGCGACGGCCCAGGAGTTTCCAGCTACTTGCAATTTGACCTTTTGGTCTGTCGAATGTGTTTGATATCAGCGTGTAGATATTAGTTGTTCCGAGAAATTTATCAATAAAAATAATTGCGTGTATCGGGTGTACACCAACATGTATGTATTCCTAAAAGTTTAAACGATAAAATATATACCGTTGTATATAATATTATAAGTAAGTATGAAAATTAAAATGTGAAAATGGAAATCTTAGTCACTCATGATTCATCCGATTATATTGATCTTTTTTTTTTAAACACAAGAGTACATTGTAGACCAGGGTTTAAGCTTAATTTCAGTTCTATAAGTTAATTGAGTAATTATTTCTTTATAAATGTTTATTTTTCAATATCATGCGGTGTAGTGTAGAAAAATAACATATACGTTGAGATGTGTTATGTTCAATCGCGATGAATTTTTGGAAAGTTGTATGAAAACCGAAATTCCCCAATAAAAATCCGTGTTTTGCATTAATTGATCATTTTTTTACCGATAAATTCAAGTTATACCAGTTAATAAAATGTTGATATATCTTCGAGTTAAAAATTATAAACTTACGTACACACCCGCGCAGTCCGCAATCTGATAATATATTGTTCGCATAATCATAAGCGAGTCTCACGGGCGACGTCGAGCGGAATGACTTTAATAATATTCTTATATTATAAAACGTGAAGTAGTTAACTCGTTGTCCGCCAGCGGCGATGCAACAAATATAATATATCAATATTATAATTTAAAATCGAATGTGTCCCGACTAACTCACTAACTGATGATGGACGTAGAGAGAGCCTTAACAATCATAACTCGAGGCTTGCAGTTATTATGATACTTTCGTTCCGTAAAATTAGTGTGCAATAAGAAAGCATTTAACAAAATTCGCATTTTAAAGTAATGTGCTTGCACATATTTTTTGAGATTCAAGATGGTCAATACGTAAAAATGTATAAGTTTTGAACACCATACTACACCGAATATTAATAATAATTAATAACAAATTAAACAAAGTTTAGATCATATCATTAAATATAGATGGCATTTTTAACAGGCAACGAAGTGCACGGCGTCAGTTAGTATTATTATAATAATATATATTATCAATTTATTTAACCCTAAGTATAATAAAATCTTTTTTGTATATACCATAAAACCGTAAAAATATTTACAATACTTTTAATTTTAACAGATAATATTAAAAATAATATTGCATAAAGAAAAATTCATAATAATATAAAATATATAAAAGTTTAAGTACCCGTAGATAATATTTTTAAATTATAACAAAATAATTAGTATATCGTTACCATTTATAAGTTAAATAAGTAATGTTGTCTAAATTTAAACTTAAAGTGTTTATAAAAAAATAACCGTAATAGTTTTTTTAGATTTTATGGTTCCAATATGGACACAATTTAAGAGGTATTTTGTATTAAATTTTCAAAACTTAAATTAAAAAAGAAAAGTATTTAACAACAAAATAGTTGACAAATTTCATTAAAATCTAACTTCAAATATAAATAAAAAAAATTATACCCATGTATTTTTAATATTTTTATATAAATATTAGAATATTTTTGTGGATCTTGTATTACATTTACAAGCATTTATGACCAGTAAATGATTTTTAATTGAAAATTATGAAAAAAAAAAACATTTTTCAGGTATTTATAACTCAAGAACATTAACTTTTATAATAATGGAAATGATAATAATATTTGGTAAAAATTTCAAGTATCTAATGATAATTTTTTTTTTGAAATAAATTATATTAAAAAAAAAAAAAAAATAAATAAAAAAATATATAGCCAAAATAAATAAGATTAATAATTAGTTATTAAAATTTAATCAATAAAAATAATAATAATTTTACAGTAACATCACATTTTACTTACTTATTTACCTACTAATTATCCCAACTCATAATTGTTAACATATAAAATGATACATACATGTCAAATTTAACTCTAAATCATGTCCAATGTCCATTATATTTTATAGTTTTATATATTTTTCATTGATAAAAGTAAGTATTATTTTAAGAATGATTTTTCTTAGAGTGTAGAATAAAAAAGGTAAGAACTTAAACTTTTAACATGATCAATTGATAAAAAATCAATAGGCTTTGAATGCTACAATAGAGATTTGGGTTTATTATAGTTCACTTAAGATTATGGGAATTTTAGAATGGGTAAAGTTCATAAAATATGAAATTACATTAAGTATTAAAAAGTATAAGTTATTTATTATTTCTTAATAATAGGTACCAATTACAAAATGTTGAAAATTCGGAATTCATTGCCAATCTAATTTCATTTATACTCAATTTATTATGTCAACATACTTAGATATAGCTATGAGCTATAAATGTTTATTTTCAAATTTTTCTTAAGGGAGGGGGGGGGGGGCCAAAAATATAATTATTTTAAAGTAGCAAGCAAATTTAATAATTATTTTATTGTTTGATTAATTTTAATATTGTAATTATAATGTAAAAAATAAAGGTGTTTATAATGTGTATACTGATGTAACAACAATAAAATTACAGTACTTTTAGAGTTTATAAAATTAAATATAAGCTATGTTTTTTATAGCATAAATGATGTATTACTTCCTAGGGTTAGATTAGTGTTTTTATTAACAAAATATCACAGAAGCTATTCTCAGTAATGAATCAAATTAATTATTCAATTTTGTGAAATATTTTTATTAATTTAGAAAAATATTACATGGTTCAAGAGAGGGGGGCAGGGACAATAAATGAAGCTAATAGTGCTTGTATTTTATTAAAACTATTATAATACACATCTGAATTTAAAAATGGTTTTTTAAATTTCAATAACCTCTAAAAAAATGTTTATAGCTATAAATATATTACTGGTAGGTGAAGTATTTTAAAAACTGATTAAAATATTTTGGCATTTGACCAGAAAAAGATTTGTTGCTTCATATTTAGGATATAGGTAAATTATTATAACAAAACATTATTGAATAATAAAAGACTTACAGTTTAATAAATTAAAATATAATTTTTTTAACACTGTGAAGAATCTAAATAAGAAATAGCTTTTATCACTTTTGCAATCTTGGAAGAATCAGTGTCAGTACCATTTTTTAGACCAGTGAATAAATTAACCATGTATGCATCAATAGTCTCATAGGTAGGTACCTCAGTATCATCTAAAGAAACACAAATATAAATTAAACATAATAGTTATTGAAACAATTAAAAAGATTGTAGATAAAATAATGCATTATTTGGATATATTTAAAAATATTAAGATTAAAACGGTAAAAATGATTTTCGTTTATATAGTATACATATTGAAATATTGCTATATTGTCTAAGGATACTATGAGTAGTTAAAAAATACAAGGCTATTCAAAATATATCATCCGACACTTTGCACCTGATTTCCTAGGTTACCTGATCATCATATTCCAAGCAACTACATATTTTACATTTATTTACAAATATTATCATCAACTTAAAATGAGCTAAAAATTATAGCAGTCATTTACAATGGATATGAATAGAATGAATTAGAATTCTGACCATGGGCGTGCATTGATTTTTGAGTCAGGTATGGCTAAATTAAATCTGGCCCCCGCCCCTTTGTCACAGTAAAATTATAGAAATTTTCAATACAAATTTCAAAGTAACCCTTTTGTTGGTGGCTGAAAAATATAAACAATCATTTTTCATTATTTCACACACACAATTCATCAATATTGGTTTAAAATTAAAATTAAATATAATCTAATAAAAAAAATTTAAAAACGTTCAAAAGTCAAAACATAATATATAATATTAACAATTGTTAATTAATATTAATATTTGTTTATTATAATAAATTATTTATAATGTAATTTGTATGTATATACATTACATACAATTATTATGTTGTCAAATAAAAAAAATGTAATTACTAGAGTGCAGATTTATATGTATTAAAAATTCAAAAATATTTACATATAATAAATATAATTATTTTTATCCAAATATGCAATTAAAAATACAAGATATGTGAAAAAAAAAAATGTTTTTATTTTTGAAAAAGAATTATAAAATAAGTATATAGGTACGTAAATATAAATTAAACAACACTACATTACATTATTATTTAATTAAAATTATAGTTAAGAATACATTTAAATTAAGTATTTATTCATTAGAGTTAGAATCTTCATCGTAAACAAAATAATTGACAATCATATACTTATTTAGGTTGTTAAAAATAAATCAACGTCGATTAGGACGCAATATGTTTTTATAGCGGCTAAAAGACCTTTCCACGTTGATGGAAGTTATAGGAGCTATACTTATTTTTAATCGTATAAATATCTGATTTTGATTTATTTTGTTAACGGTTTTCTACGGCTATAATGCCTTATTACTTTCTTAGACACCAAATACCCACTTATCCCACTCATGTATTAAAAAAAAAAAGCTCAGGTGAGGCTAAAATCTAATCAGCCCTACTCATGCGCACGCCTATGGTTCTGACTAATTGTTATTTGTGTGATCAAAGGGAACCACAGAGAACAGTTATTGGTACCGTTACAAAAATTTTAAATATTATTTTTTTATTTTATGTATTACATATTACACTAATCTTAAAAACTAAAAAGATATAATTATTTTGAATAACCTTGTACTTATATTTTATTTATTTTTAAGAAAATAATGTGTTAAAAATATGTTAATTTCAGGATAAGTTTTAATACTTAAACACTCGAGATCTTGTTAAATTTTGTATCGTTATAACAAATAATTTAATTAAGTGTTTACTAGTATACAGCATTAACCTATCCAACATTTGGGATAGTTTTTTTGCATATCATTTTTAAAATGTTATTTGGTAGGATTCAAATTGAAATAAGTGCCTGGTTATTTTATCATTATTTTTTAGATAGCTATATAAAAAAAATTTGAAATATTTACCCATAAATTCAGTGTTAGCAAAAGCATCTAACAATATAGATCGTAATTTATTTAAATACTGCTCATATTTTGAATATCTAGCTTCGAGTTTTTCAGTGTAAGCTTTTAATTTGGTAGTACCATCTAGCATGTTTTCAATATGTTTATCCAAGACACATACTTCTTGTTCTTGATCCGTTACATTTTTACGAAGGTTTCTTAATTCAGTTTCTCTAGCTATATAAAAATAAATTTAACATATATATATATATATATATATATATATATATATAAATAAAATAAAATAAAATAAATACCAACCTTTATTGAAGTTTAAAAATTCTTCAGTAAAAATAGGTATGTCATGAGCTGCATCACTGTTTTCACTAGATGTATTTTCTTTTTTCAATTTTTGATCCTAAATAGAATAAATAAATAGATAATTAATAATTATTAACAATAATATTGAAATTGTAAAGCTTCAGCATAAAATAGTTATAATCTTTTTAACCTTGTTTTCAGTAGATGGTTTTGTTTTGTTTAATTCTTGATCCTAAATAGAACAAATACATGGGTAATTAATAATTATTAACAATAATTTTGAAATCTTACACTTCTAATTCGCAATATACATGTATATTTCTTGCAACTATTTTTATTTAAAGCTCTAGTATAAAATGTATAAAATAATAATAATTAATAACCTTTTTAACCTTGTTTTCAGTAGATAATTTTTCCTTTTTTAATTCTTGATCCTAAGTAGAAAAAATAAATGAATGATAAATAATTATTAACAATAATTTTGACATTGTAAACACTTTTAATCCACAAAATATATGTAGTAATATATGCCATGCAACTATTTCTATTTAAAGCTCCAATATAAAATAATTATAACCTTTTTAACCTTGTTTTCAGTAGGTGGTTTTTCTTTATTTAATTCTTGATCCTAAATAGAATAAATTAATAGATAATTAATAACTAATTATAATGAATTGGTAATTTTATACAATTTTAATTCGCAAAATATATGTATATTTCATGCAACTATTTCTATTTAAAGCTCCAATATAAAATAATTATAACCTTTTTAACCTTGTTTTCAGTAGGTGGTTTTTCTTTATTTAATTCTTGATCCTAAATAGAATAAATAAATAGATAATTAATAATTAATTATAATGAATTAGTAATTTTAAACAATTTTAATTTGCAAAATATATATATATTTCATGCAACTATTTCTATTTAAAGCTCCAATATAAAATAATTTTAACCTTTTTGAATTTGTTTTCAGTAGATGAATTTCCTTTTTTAAATGCTGCTTGTTCCTAAATAGAACAAATTTGTGGATGATTAATAATTATTAAAAATTAATTTATACAATTTTAATCTGTAATATTTATTTTTCATGATTGTAATCAAATTGATAATATTTATAAAATATAACTCTTTTTAACATGGTATGAAATCGTTAATGTACAGATTAATTATTATTTATTAATGAAAATAAAGAATTTATGTAATATGTAAACAAATAAGGAATTTCATAAATAATATTATCTAAAATTGAAAACTACATTTTTAAAACATTGTTGTAAAATTAGTATTATATATGTACTGCAGCGGTTCTCAAACTTTTTTTTTAGCGTGCCATTTCAGTATATTATCAATTAGTTACGTACCACTGATGATTAAAAATAAAACGATACAAACTTTACATAGTTAAATACATTTATTTCAAATAAAAATGCAGTAAAATACTATAATATAATTATTATTTATTTATTGATACAAATTTATTAGTGTTTAAAAAATAAAATATGAAATGAATAACAAATTTTCAATGAGAACCATGAATTTGTAAATTTGATATTAGCAATGATTATATTACCACCATATGGCCTTTCGCGTACTACCATGTAATCTTTCGGGTACCTTAGTTTGAAAACCACTGATGTACTGTATTAATTTTAATATACTAATATTTTTTGAATAAAATATAATTGAATATTCAACTAACATTTTGGATAGCAGAAAATAATTCTTTTTTTTTCAATTTTCCAATAATAAATTTTCTGTATGTGTCAGTTTTCTTATAAGCGGCTAATTCTTCAAGGTATTTTACTCGTTCTTGTTCAGCGGCTAAAATATATGGCTAAAAATATAAAATACTATTATAGAAGAACAGTTTAAATTTTCTCTAATGATCATCGGAGTACACTTTTCTAAGTATTTATTTCTGTATTTAATGATGATTAATACTTATTAGTATATTAAAAAGCAACTATTTACTTGTTTTTTATCTGATGGCAACTGGTTCCATTCAGCAGCTAATACTCTGGTTATTTCAGAAAATGATAAATTATGATTTTCTGAAGATAATTGCACACGTCTATCATTTAAAAACCGTACGTACCCTGTAAATATAAATAAATAAAAAATCTAGTATTAAAAATTAAAAAAATTACGTAAATTAATTACCAGAATTTGGAGGTTTTGGAGCTGATGGATCACGTAAATACAATCTAGGTTTTTTAGTTTGGTTTTTATTAGCTTTTTTAAGCATGGCATTTACAACGGCCTTGTCATCTTGATCTATAACATTTAAAGGTAGGCAATAGGTACACAATGGAGCACACCTATTATTAAAACACAAAATTATAAACGCAAGGGTACCTGATTTGTTTGTAAAGCCAGTGTTTCTAGATTTAAACATTGTAATCAACCAAGTCGGCTACTTTTCTGATAGACTTGAGCTCACGCAGCGCAGGCTTCAACGTTGTCCGTTCCGATGAAATTAAAAACAACGGAGGTTAGTAAATAATAATAGCCGCGAAAAACCAAAACTCCTCGATCAATAGGTGCACTTGTAAAACGACGGGATGGTGAAAACGCGCTAGGTCGGACACACGGACGTCTTTACTACTTCTTACGCGGAGCTCGGAGGGCGGACGTCGGTCACGCTGAGACGGTAAACAATAAATCGGTATTTCCTCGCACCTATTGAACACGATGTCACAGCATTCTTATCTTCACCGCGGTCGGCTTATCAATATTTTTTCCGTCGCGAATTTTCGGGAATAGTGCACTCCGGTAAGTCCGTTAATAGATTTTTCGACAATCCACGTCTGTGTCTTTGCAGTTTGCACGCCTGCATCCCGCGTAGAACGTACGCTGTACAACGTTGGGCCGTCGACGGCGGGCCATCGCCACAAATATTTTCTTTGCGTCGGTCACCCTGCAGGCCGTGGCCGTGGCGCCCTCGCCAACCGCGGTAGAGGACCGTATTACCATCTACTTTGCACCAGTGCACCACTGCACCGCGCGGCTCATACGCCGACGACATGGCTTGCCATTGTAGTCGCGGGGCACGGATAACCTGGTTCAGCCCGAGTAACCGCACCGGACCTGAGCACACGCACGCACACGACCCGTTCTGCGGAACGCGTCGGGTTACCGTTCGTCGTCGCTCGCAAATTTTGTTACCACAACACTGTAGATAATATTATTATCAATTCGCAGACTCCGTCAACACTCGCCCGCACGGTGAGTTGGTCACCGACACCGGACACTATCATTGGTGCTGTTCGAGTGTATAATATATAAATATATTACAATAAAATGTGCCCGTATCGTCAATAGTTATTGTTACTCGACAACAAACGATTATCATAAAAGATTTTTGTGTACGTGTACGCTAGTACACGATAACTGATGAGTAATCGATAAAATGTTTCGATTTCCAACTTTGGTTTTGGATGACAAATCAGATTTAGTTTGTACTACGAAGAGGTTAAAATTATAAATACCCGATATTTTTCAAAATAATTATACAAAAAAAAAAAAAAAAAACATATACCTATAGAAAAATAACGGAAATTAAAATCAGGTTTTGACAAAATCGATTTTTGCTTTTCGGTGTACTTAAAAAACGAATAACTTCAGATACTTGAAATTTTCTCAAAATATATATACAGGTAAGAGTTTTCTATATATAATATAATTAAAAATACATTTTGACTGTTTTTGAGGCATTTGAAATTTGAATTGTTTTTAGTTTATTTCTTTTCATAAATTTAAGTATAGGTTATACTGTAATTATGTACGTGTATAATGGGAAAATCATACAATTGTCAATAAGTGAAAAATTTCGGATTTTTACTGTCACAGATTATTTATTGTTAATTGTTTATTTGATGTAAAATTTTACGTGTTGTATAGGATTTATTATCATTTATCACTGTTTGTAATTTTACCATAACATTTCATAATATTAAATACATGATATTGTTCGGGCTTTTGAACGTTCGCCGATAGATCGTAAACCGATGATCGTACATGTATCGTTTGATAGTTTCTAAAATATAGAATTGCGGATATCTACTGTGTTAAAAGTGATTTCTTCGGTCTGCACAATATTCATATTCATTTATTTTCAACACCAGGGTTGCTAAGCACTAAGCAGTAACCGACGTCATATGGCGTCTAGTGGAATAGGGGGAGGGTTACCTTAAAGTGTAGTGGGAATGCATCACTGAACAACTTCTATAGTATCATTTCTGAAATACCAACAATCTTAACTGAAAATTTTTTAAAAAAAATATTAGATTATGATCAATTTATCAACCACATTGCACTTCAAAAAGCTAGAAAGAGGCAATTTACTCAGTTATTGTATTCAACGCCATACATGGGGGAGATTTAGGGATTAACGCCTCCCCTCTTCAATTACTCCGAAAATTATTCTCAGAAACTGCCTTGATTATATTGATACATTTTATTTGTTTAAGAATAGAACAGCGGTAATGTTAAAATTATGAAGTATAATTAACTCATGATCCTTCATTGCATCATAATTTATGTACCAAAAAAGGATCACTGTAAATAAAAAAAAACAGCTTTTGCGTTGTGTCACCGTTTAGGAAGAATTGTGTAGTATAGTCCATTTTGGTGAATGGGGTGTTTGATTATACACAATGAATGAAAAATGAAACGAATAACTGGAAAAGTAATTACAAAAATAACGTGTAATATAAATGTAGGTTGGAAAGAGAAATCGCAAAATTAATGTAACTACTGTCCTAAGTATACATAGACGTCGGTAAAGATGTATTCATTTCAAGCTTAAAAAAACACTTATTCAAAGAAACAGAGTTGTGTCCAAAAAATGAACTAAAAAAAAAAAACAAAATAAAAATGATCTTAAATTCGAAAATTTAATGTAGATAACAAATCAATATATGCATGCATTCTCATTGTCTAAACATTAAACAATAACATTAACGTTATCGAGGAATTCATGTATCAAGTGACTAAAGTAAATATAAAAAGCATAATTCTGTGTAATAAAACAAGTGTATTACTCAGACCACAGAAATATAAAGCAAAAATAAAATATAAGACGTAATGACAATAGAAAAGCGCACCGACGCGTAAAATATAAGCACACAGTATGATGCGGTTTCATCTGATATTGCGGATTGCAGTGAACCAATCACAAAGGTCGTGCGGTCCGGTATTTTGGTATAAATATTTGTGACATCGGCGTTGTTCGGCAGTCGTTTTACGACACCTGTAGTGTGAACAGTTTTACGGTAGAACGGCACGAAGACGGACGGACATGGATGGAAACAAGGAGAACGCGATGGGATTTGACTCGGCAGTGGCAACAGAGAAGAAAAACCGCAACAGAAGAAAAACGGAGGACATCCTCAAATGGATAATAGATGTGGAGGCGGCAAGGTGTTGTCATGGAGAGGAGAGCACGGGACACTGTCCTCAACCGCTCGATTGGAGATTTGTGGACGGAAACTCTATACACAAATATATTCCGTTCGAGAAGAACATCGGGACACCACTGGCAATAGGCTACGTGAAATACAAACTGGAGCAGTACGGACCACCAACGAAGAAGATGAAGACTACCGACGATAGCACACCGCTTTGGTATATGTCAAGCGATTCACTCAAGCGAATCATGCATAAGGCGTCCATCCGAAATATCGACTCAATCAGAAGACGAAATCCGTGAATGCCGGTGGATTGACCGGTGAGAATTGTGGTTGGAGGGCAGTTGTTACGAAGCAAAGTGGCGTCCACACACGCGCACTGCTCGGAAAAAGGTCTTTTTCAAGACCACCAAAAAGTAATTGATAAAAAAAAAAAAAAAGTAAATAAATAAATAAATAATAAAAAAAGCATAAGTCAACGAAAAAGACCGGCAAAACGTACGATAAGCACTTAGTGCGATGCGGTTGTATCCTATAGTCATGATTCGGGTGAAACGACGATAAGGTTGATCTGGAGTTTTGGTAAAACCATCACGGAGTAAAGTGCCGCCCACACACGCTCACCGCCCAAAAGTCTTTTTCGTGTCCACTAAAAGATGCAATATAAAAATAAAAAAAATATAGGTGGAACTGTAAGTTGAACAGATGTAGTTATGATTTTATTAAATAAAATCATAACAATCATATAACAAATTTTGTTTTTTGAAGTTTTCGACATGTTTATGAATTTTCAATTAAATTCGTATTTGATTTTGTTTTGGAATCGGTATTAGAAGTACCATTGTCGGTGAAATGAAAAGTAGCGTATGGTTCAAAATTGCCTTTGTGTTTTTAAAGTCAACTGGTCGCAATTTAAAATTTTAGTTTCATAATTTTTATGTGAATGATGCTGCAAATTGGGGGCCATTGCTTTTTTTTAGGGTGAGGTCGGTGTACATCATATTTCGTGTCTCCGACTTAAGTACTTCGAAGGTCATTATTATTTAAATAATATCTGACTGGTCATTAAATTTTATTTTCACTGAATCTACATCATTTTTAATGTCAGCCAACTCGTAACTGAATCTGATTTATGCCTGTTAAATAGATATCAAAGTAATAAAATAAAATTGTAGTTTAGAAAACTATTTTTAATAAGTGTTCATTTTTGCTATTAAACAGTAATGTGAAAATATTTATTATATTTGTCAACATTTTATCTTAAAACGCATTTTATCTTAGATAGGCTATGTTATATCGATAAAAGTGTTTATGGAAAATCTGTAATAACTATACATACTTTTATTAGGAAATATATAATTTCTATCTTTTATTCTCTTGTGCCGCTTCCCAATGGATATTTTACCATAATATGACCCTTTTTAAATCCAGTTGCATGCACACTTGTTATTTTCACTTTCATAACATAAAAAGCAGATTACAATATTTCTTTCTTTTGCATATTGCCAATTCATTCTTTATTTTTTGTCGTTTATTATTATAAGTTATTTCAATAATTCTTTAATCAAGTTAGAGTATTAACTGAATAGGAAAAAGAAATACCACACATACATTCACTTAATGTAGTACATTATAATTTATAAGATATTTTTTACAATATTAGACTTTGTAACGTGTAAAAATAGTTTGTATCAACTAACAATGCGATAATACGCAATATATTTCTAATGTTTCCAAAGTTATTGTTAAAGCCGATAACAAATTTATGATGAGATCTTAAACTTAATACCAGAAAAACAATATCGAATTAATTTTAATTTATGTTGTAATTGAACTTAGGTAAATATAATTTTCAAAATTTAATTTTTTTTCGACAAAACTTCAAACAGTTACATATTACATGTTGTTATAAGCGGTGTGATATTATTTTTCACTTGATTTGTATAAATATATAAATAGCTTATAAAAAAGCAATTATGATCACAGATCCCGTGAATATAAAGCACGGAAATCACGTATTTAGTAAATTTACATGAGTATCATAGAATTCACGTGTCACATGAAATTCGTGTTTATCCAAAACATATATTCGTTTATACGTGATATGGATACCCAGGTGCATAAAACACGTGTTGACCTCTAGTCAAGACAATATTTAAACATATTGATTTTGTCTACGATAGCTCAGGTTATAAATTATAGTTAACTGAAGAAAACTTAAATATTATACATTTTACTTTTATTTTGCATTTCGAGCGGCTACGACGCGTGCATACATAAACACGGTTTTATAACGACTAAATAAGGTCCGACTGATTGTCGCCAATGACCGCTATATTGGACGTTACTTATCGCACATATTATCTTTTGTACAGATAATTTTAATTATAATATACAATATCTTGTGCACGCAATAAATAAGCGATATCCAATTTTTTTAATTAGTGATTTTACCTCAAGATTATATTTTAAGAACATAATAAATTATTTTAAGTGAATATTTTTTGTCTGTGTATATGGACCAGAGAGTGAAATAAAAAATGCACTGACATTTTCTTATTGACTAA